GCTGCACAACTGCCCGAGGCCTCAGACTCAAAGACTATGCAGTCCACATTGTGCACTGCTGCCACAGCTTCAGATATATGCTTGTCGGTTGCTGTAATCCTCGGCATGCAAACACATCGCTCAAACCACAGCTTGTATCTCGCCAGCATCTGTCCTCAGGAAACTGAACGAACTCAACCAGCCAGCAGCACCAAACATTCATCACGCCTGCCACGACACAGTCGAGCTCACATGCGGAAAAATATTCAACCACCACACCCTGTAGCCTCAACGACCTGGCAAACAGCTCCAAACAATTGCTTTAGATTCTTGGTGGCGGCCATGCAACCCTGCCAGCAGCAAGCGCAGAGCAAGGTAAAATCAAGCATCGACATAGCCACCCGCAGTCTTTTGCAAGTTACAGAATCTCCACCCAGCGTAGGCTGTTGGTGGGATCTTGGCTACTTGCAAGGCCCTCTCATACCGTCTGTCACCGTACATATTCTGCATACGCAAGCGCCCGCACAACATCACGCACTAACAAGCGCTATCACTGCACGCACAGGTGGCCAAACCAAATCACAGGGTGAGGAGCTCAGCAAGCTAAGTGAACTTTGTTCGCTGCACAACTGCCCGAGGCCTCAGACTCAAAGACTATGCAGTCCACATTGTGCACTGCTGCCACAGCTTCAGATATATGCTTGTCGGTTTCTGTAATCCTCGGCATGCAAACACATCGCTCAAACCACAGCTTGTATCTCGCCAGCATGCTGTAGCCTCAACGACCTGGCAAACAGCTCCAAACAATTGCTTTAGATTCTTGGTGGCGGCCATGCAACCCTGCCAGCAGCAAGCGCAGAGCAAGGTAAAATCAAGCATCGACATAGCCACCCGCAGTCTTTGCAAGTTACAGAATCTCCACCCAGCGTAGGCTGTTGGTGGGATCTTGGCTACTTGCAAGGCCCTCTCACACTGTCTGTCACCGTACATATTCTGCATACGCAAGCGCCTGCAAAAATCAGGCACACACAAGCGCTATCACTGCACGCACAGGTGCAAACCAAATCACAGGGTGAAGAGCTCAGCAAGCTAAGTGAACTTTGTTCGCTGCACAACTGCCCGAGGCCTCAGACTCAAAGACTATGCAGTCCACATTGTGCACTGCTGCCACAGCTTCAGATATATGCTTGTCAGTTTCTGTAATCCCCGGCATGTAAACACATCGCCCAACGAACAGTTTGTATCTCGCCAGCATCTGTCCTCAGGAAATTGAACGAACTCAACCAGCCAGCACCAAACATTCATCACGCCTGCCACGATACAGTCGAGCTCACATGCGGAAAAATATTCAACCACCACACCCTGTAGCCTCAACGACCTGGCAAACAGCTCCAAACAAATTATTTAGATTGTTGATGGCGGCCATGCAACCCTGCCAGCAGCAAGCGCAGAGCAAGGTAAAATCAAGCATCGACATAGCCACCCGCAGTCTTTGCAAGTTACAGAATCTCCACCCAGCGTAGGCTGTTGGTGGGATCTTGGCTACTTGCAAGGCCCTCTCACACCGTCTGTCACCGTACATATTCTGCATACGCAAGCGCCTGCAAAAATCAGGCACACACAAGCGCTATCACTGCACGCACAGGTGGCCAAACCAAATCACAGGGTGAAGAGCTCAGCAAGCTAAGTCAACTTTGTTCACTGCACAACTGCCCGAGGCCTCAGACTCAAAGACTATGCAGTCCACATTGTGCACTGCTGCCACAGCTTCAGATATATGCTTGTCCGTTTCTGTAATCCTCGGCATGCAAACACATCGCTCAAACCACAGCTTGTATCTCGCCAGCATCTGTCCTCAGGAAACTGAACGAACTCAACCAGCCAGCAGCACCAAACATTCATCACGCCTGCCACGACACAGTCGAGCTCACATGCGGAAAAATATTCAACCACCACACCCTGTAGCCTCAACGACCTGGCAAACAGCTCCAAACAATTGCTTTAGATTCTTGGTGGCTATGCAACCCTGCCAGCAGCAAGCGCAGAGCAAGGTAAGATCAAGCATCGACATAGCCACCCGCAGTCTTTGCAAGTTACAGAATCTCCACCCAGCGTAGGCTGTTGGTGGGATCTTGGCTACTTGCAAGGCCCTCTCACACCGTCTGTCACCGTACATATTCTGCATACGCAAGCGCCTGCAAAAATCAGGCACACACAAGCGCTATCACTGCACGCACAGGTGACCAAACCAAATCAAAGGGTGAAGAGCTCAGCAAGCTAAGTGAACTTTGTTCACTGCACAACTGCCAGAGGCCTCAGACTCAAAGACTATGCAGTCCACATTGTGCACTGCTGCCACAGCTTCAGATATATGCTTGTCAGTTTCTGTAATCCCCGGCATGTAAACACATCGCCCAACGAACAGTTTGTATCTCGCCAGCATCTGTCCTCAGGAAATTGAACGAACTCAACCAGCCAGCAGCACCAAACATTCATCACGCCTGCCACGATACAGTCGAGCTCACATGCGGAAAAATATTCAACCACCACACCCTGTAGCCTCAACGACCTGGCAAACAGCTCCAAACAAATGTTTGAGATTGTTGATGGTGGCCATGCAACCCTGCCAGCAGCAAGCGCTAAGCAAGGTAAGATCAAGCATCGACATTGCCACCCGCAGTCTTTTCAAGTTACAGAATCTCCACCCAGCGTAGGCTGTTGGTGGGATCTTGGCTACTTGCAAGGCCCTCTCATACCGTCTGTCACCGTACATATTCTGCTTACGCAAGCACCCGCACAAATCACGCACACACAAGCGCTATCACTGCACGCACAGTTGGCCAAACCAAATCACAGGGTGAAGAGCTCAGCGAGCTAAGTCAACTTTGTTCGCTGCACAACTGCCCGAGGCCTCAGACTCAAAGACTAGGCAGTCCACATTGTGCACTGCTGCCACGGCTTCAGATATATGCTTGTCCGTTTCTGTAATCCTCGGCATGCAAACACATCGCTCAAAGCACAGTTTGTATCTTGCCAGCATCTGGCCTCAGGAAATTGAACGAACTCAACCAGCCAGCAGCACCCAAAACTCATAGTCGAGCTCACATGCGGAAAAATATTCAACCACCACACCCTGCAGCCTCAACGACCTGGAAAACAGCTCCAAACAATTTAGATTGTTGATGGCGGCCATTCAACCCTGCCAGCAGCACGCGCAAAAGCAAAGTAATATCAAGCATTGACACAGCCTCCCGCACTCCTTGCAAGTTACAGAATCTCCACCCAGCGTAGACTGTTGGTGGGATCTTGACTACTTGCAAGGACCTCTCATACCTTCTGCCACCATACATATTCTGCATACGCAAGCGCCCGCAAAATCACGCACACACTGCCAAAGGCCTCAGACTCAAAGACTATGCAGTCCACATTGTGCACTGCTGCCACAGCTTCAGATATATGCTTGTCGGTTTCTGTAATCCCCGGCATGCAAACACATCGCTCAAAGCACAGTTTGTATCTTGGCAGCATCTGGCCTCAGGAAATTGAACGAACTCAACCAGCCAGCAGCACCCAAAACTCATAGTCGAGCTCACATGCGGAAAAATATTCAACCACCACACCCTGCAGCCTCAACGACCTGGAAAACAGCTCCAAACAATTTAGATTGTTGATGGCGGCCATTCAACCCTGCCAGCAAGCAAGCACAAAGGCAAAGTAATATCAAGCATCGACATAGCCACGCAAGTTACAGAATCTCCACCCCGCGTAGGCTAGTGGTGGGATCTTGGCTACTTGCAAGGCCCTCTCACACCGTCTGTCACCGTACATATTCTGCAGACGCAAGCGCCTGCAAAAATCAGGCACACACAAGCGCTATCACTGCACGCTCAGGTGGCCAAACCAAATCACAGGGTGAAGAGCTCAGCAAGCTAGTGAACTTTGTTCGCTGCACAACTGCCCGAGGCCTCAGACTCAAAGACTATGCAGTCCACATTGTGCACTGCTGCCACAGCTTCAGATATATGCTTGTCCGTTTCTGTAATCCCCGGCATGTAAACACATCGCCCAACGAACAGTTTGTATCTCGCCAGCATCTGTCCTCAGGAAATTGAACGAACTCAACCAGCCAGCACCAAACATTCATCACGCCTGCCACGATACAGTCGAGCTCACATGCGGAAAAATATTCAACCACCACACCCTGTAGCCTCAACGACCTGGCAAACAGCTCCAGACAATTGCTTTAGATTCTTGGTGGCTATGCAACCCTGCCAGCAGCAAGCGCAAAGAGCAAGGCAGAATCAAGCCTCAACATAGCCAGCCGCACTCTTTGCAACTTAGAGAATCTCCGCCCAGCGTAGGCTGTTGGTGCGATCTTGGCTACCTGCAGCAAGGCCTCTCATACCATCTGTCACAAAGCCTTACCTGCACGCAAGCGCCCACAAAAACCACACACACACACACTCACGAGCATGCACTGCTGCTTACGCCAGCGCTGCACACAAAGCTCCCCAATACCTGGTCACAAGTTGAAAAGTTCAGCAAGCTAAGTGAACTCCAGAGGCCTCAGACTCAAAGATTATGCAGTCCACATTGTGCACTGCTGCCACAGCTTCAGAAATATGCTTGTCTGTTTCTGTAATCCTCGGCATGCACATCGCTCGAAGCAAAGGTCCTATCTCACCAGCATGCGACCCAAGGAAATTGGATGGACCCCACCAGCCAGCAGCACGAAACACTCATCATGCCGCCTGCCACTACATAGTCGAGTTCACATGCTGAAAAATCTCAACCGCATCAACCCTCGACCATACCACCCTGGCAGCAGCTCAGTTTGTTTGAACCTGCCAGCAGCAAGCGCAATTCAAAGTCTCCCCCCAGCTTAAGCTGCAGGTGGGATGGTGCACATGCAGACAGAATGGATCTCGATTCTTCTGACATTCCTCTTACTCTTGCCATAAACATGACCACCACCACCACCACCACCACCACCACTACCACCACCACTCCGGGTCACCGGCCACGTCACACTGTGAAGCCCCGAGCGCAGCGCCTGAGCGCCGCAGGCCTGTTTCGGGCGAGCGAAAGAATTTCGTAACCCCAGCCCCCTTAAGGGGAACCAACTTCGTTTCTGAAAAAACTGTTTCAGTCATGGTCGAATCAGGCGTGAAATTGCTTGGCCACTTCTAGTACCTGGTGTCTTCCTTTTTTGCAAGAGCGTTGATCAAAATGGGACCAATCCCCAGCTTGTTTCGATGTTGGCATCTACGGGTTGGTCGTCGTTTTGGACCCCGGATAGAAGATAAAACCTTTGTGCTGGGTGGGAAAAATGGTACTTGGGTTGTATTTGGTTGTGTGTACATACCTGTCCTTTGACCCCTTTTCGTGGGATAAGTAACTAAGGCTCATCCCCTTTCAACCACCCCGTTAAAACCGTAGCAAGGGCAACTCTGGTGCGTGTGGCAACCGACAACGCCGGAGAGGGTAATCGGAGAGCTCCCGCAGCCGAGGGTAGAACATTGCTAGGGAACCCAGCTATGGGAAGCCCTCAAAAAAGGAAAAAGGACAGCACTTCATTGGAGCTGGGAGCCCAAATAAGCCCTTGTTAAGCCCTAAATAAGGCCTTATTTAGGGCTTAGTTGGGCTCCCTCCACCCCCACCCACACCCCCAGCCCCCATGAGCACGGGCTGTTTGGGGAGACCCGAAAGTTCGACCCAGGAATGGCGCATCCGTCAGGATCACTGCCGGTTGAGCTTAGTGTCTACATTTTGACCCCCGTAGCGTCAAATGAAATCCTGCAGAAGTGCAGAAACTCCACACTTTCCGGTGCAATACGTACCTTCCCTTGCGTCTCAAAAGTAAACCCTGGCACTTCAGTCGCAACAAATACAAGGTTGACCATTTAGGGCTGAACATGGACCTAAGAATATGCCGCAACAGGTTTCGAGCCCATGGCGCGCCTGCCACCGCATCCGCCAACCTAGTGCGGAGGCGGTCGCTCGGGCCTCTCAGGGCTCCTTGGGTGAGTCCCTTCAAACATCCAGCCACAAGGAAGTGACTTAACGTCGTTGTGACGAAGTCCAGTTCCAGTCTAAAGGCCACCCTCAATTCACATCCCGGCAGGATCGGCTTCTGGACTTGTTGCAGGCATCATCTCTAGTTGCTGGCCCGAAAGGTGTTATTTTTCAGTCACCCACTCTCTGGTGATGTCACCCTCTACATTCAGGGAGAGTGGGACCTCGGGACACAATTCCCCTTCAATCAACTCAAAGGACACCAACTCCCCTGCGTATTGCAGTGGTCCAAATTTCCCTTGCCAGGGCTCACGCTGCAACTGCAGACATGCTGAGTGAAAAACTTTACTTTTTCACCAGGGCTGACTGGACGCTGTGCCGCATTTCCACAGTGACTATGCCGGCGTCAGGCGGAAATACAGACATGCGCGGCAGTCTGTTCCAAACCGGGACAGGAGCGGGGGCCGGGCTCCCAGAGAAAAACACATTAGAAAAGGGTGCCCACTAACGACCACATCCTAAACCCAGCTTGCTCACGGGAAGCCTCGAAAATTCAGCCGGTGTGTGGCTGATCTTGTAGCCTCCTCGAAATCAGGAAAACTTCGGCCCCCTGTCACCCCAGGAGGAAAGCTTTTCAGAACCGTCCTTGAGTGGGTAGGTGGGTCCCCAAAAGAAGCCAAAAAACATGAAAAGCCAAGTGGGCATGGGTCAAAATTAAACTACCAGGGGACCGAAGGTTTTAGTCGTTGGTTCCATTTACCAAAGTTCCATTTTGGCTACCCATTTTTGACCCACAGTCAAGTGCTATGCCCCCAAAAACAACATCGCACCACCTTGGAGCATTCTCTCCGACCGAGTGCGCCACCGGTCGATCTGCTGCGCCAAGCCTGCTGTGGCTCGCACAGGGTAGGCAGGACAGACTCGCCAAAGGAGTAAGTTTGAACCATTCCCCTGGCTTGCAAGTGTGTATTTGTGTTTGTTTGTTGGTTTGTTGGTTTGTTTTTGTTGGTTGGTTGGTTTGTTGGTTTGTTGGTTTGTTTTTGTTGGTTGGTTGGTTGGTTGGTTGGTTGGTTGGTTGGTTGGTTGGTTGGTTGGTTGGTTGGTTGGTTGGTTGGTTGGTTGGTTGGTTGGTTGGTTGGTTGGTTGGTTGGTTGGTTGGTTTGTTGGTTTGTTGGTTGGTTGGTTGGTTGGTTGGTTGGTTGGTGGGCTGGTTGGGTGGTTGGCTGGTTGGTTGGTGGGTGGATTAGTGGATGGGTGGGTGGGTGGGCGAGCAGGTGGGCGGGTGGGTAGGTTGGTGGGTAGGTTGGTGGGTAGGTGGGTAGGTGGGTTGATGGGTTGTTTGGGGCTGGTGGGTTGGTGGGTTGGTGGGTTGGTGGGTTGGTGGGTTGGTGGGTTGGTGGGTTGGTGGGTTGGTGGGTTGGTGGGTTGGTGGGTTGGTGGGGTGGGTTGGTGGGTTGGTGGGTTGGTGGGTTGGTGGGTTGGTGGGTTGGTGGGTTGGTGGGTTGGTGGGTTGGTGGGTTGGTGGGTTGGTGGGTTGGTGGGTTGGTGGGTTGGCGGGGTTCTGTTTTTGCAAAATCCCTACGCAAAGATGACGCTGAGAGAGAGAGGAGAGAGAAGAGAAGAGAAGAGAAGAGAAGAGAAGAGAAGAGAAGAGAAGAGAAGAGAAAAGAAGAGAAGAGAAGAGAAGAGAAGAGAAAAGAAGAGAAGAGAAGAGAAGAGAAGAGAAGAGAAGAGAAGAGAAAAGAAGAGAAGAGAAGAGCAGAGAAGAGCAGAGAAGAGCAGAGAAGAGAAGAGAAGAGAAGAGAACAGAAGAGAACAGAAGACAACAGAATAAAGCAGAAGAAAACAGAAGTCGAGGGAGAGAGAGGGGAGAGAGAGAGAGAGAGAGAGAGCGCGAGACATCTTAATTGAACCTTGAGCCAGAAGCTACGGTGGGTTGGGGTTTGTTGGCTGGCGGGGTTTGTGGGTTGGTTTCTCTGTCGGTTGGTTGGTGGGGTCCTGCCCACCCCAAGAGGTTGAGCCTCAGAAGACATGCCTGGATGGCTTTGCTGGGGGCGACGAAACGGCTGGAAGCCCCAGTTGGGATGCGCAGGGAATCTTTTTTGGGACTAACCGGGGGTGAGTGACCACTCGGCTAACTCCCATCATTCACTGACAATCCATAGTGACGGACATGCACTTAGACACCAAAATATGCTTCCAAACATTCCGACCAACACTTAGAAACGGCAAAACAACATGAAGTCGCAAATCAGAACAAATAAAAACAATGAATGTATGCCCGTCGCAAAGCGAAGATCCAAACCTCGCGGGAGAAAAAAGAAGAAGAACAAAACACTCGCGCCTGGCTCAGCTGCAACGCCAACATCAGCCCCGGCCACCTTGGCCGTGCCTCAGTGAGGCAGGTTCTGGTTCGTGGAGAGTATGCCTCACCCGTCCAAAGCCTGGGCAAGACTGATCCCACCCAAAAAACAATGTGAACTGCATGCTGTCCCGCATCTCGATGGTCCGTAACATAGCACTAGAGTCGAACCACGAACAGGGGGCAGTCGAACCGGGAACGGTACTGGAAGACCCAAGCGCCGGTTGCATCGGAGGCTTCCGGAGGCGCTCTCTGCTATGAGCTTCGGGATGAGTTGAGACATCGCAAACACATCTGGTCTGAAACCAGACCGAGGCAAGCACAAGGTCTGAACCGCAGCGGGACGCACATCTACTTGTGGGATCACACGCGGGCGGCCCGAAAGTGTAGGGGAGTGCGGTCATCAATAGCAAAAGCAGCCAGGAGGGCTCAAAGGCCCCAACCACGTGCCCAGCGGCAAGAAATTTGAAATGATGGGAGTGACGCCCACTGGAAGGTTGTAGACCCACTGCTTGCGAGACGGTGGGCATACAACCCCGTACAGAACGGCCATCCGCAAAAAACACCAGGGAAGTCTCGAACGTCCCCGGCCTGACAAAGGATCAGAACCACCGAAGTTCAAAAAACTCACAGAGCCCTCAAACCAGGCGCCCCAAAGGACATAGCAAAGTAGGGTGCGCCAAGCGGCTTCTCAAGACATCTGCCAAGGTGTGAAAGCCCGGAAGCTCCGCCGCAGGTGGTTCTGGATAGGATCCTATCCGGGCCGTCTGCCACCACGGTCGGGGACCCTGAATTGTACAGGAAGCAGAATCCATCGTTCATACTCGCCGCTGACGACGATGAAAACACGCGAACCATCTTTGCAAAGATAGATTGCCAGCGAGAAGTCAAAGCCTTGGCTATGGACATCGAGCCCTTGTCAACAAAAAGAGAAGATTGTTGAAGCTGTGAACGAACAGCCAAGGCCTCCCGCTGAATCAGTTTTGGCCAAGCACTTGGTGGAACAGGGGCTACGTCACCCCAAGAGCTACAAAAGCTTCACCGCGCAACGAGTAAAGCGTGCGCCTGGGCAATACCAACTCGGCAACTCTCATGTAGAAGACTAGGATACCCAATAGAACGGTCAAGTTCTGCACGTGACGGGCGCGGAAGAACGTGATGCCCGATCGGGACGAGGGAGGCCAATTCTAAAAAAGGCAGAAGGGAAGACCGGACATGGTCGGAGGGACCGACCTTCGCAAACGGGGAGTCGAGTGGCAAGTGCATGGCCACCTTTTTGCGCGACCCACCCCTTCCCCTCGGCTACTTGAACCAAAAGGAGCTTAGCTGCATGCTGGATGAAATGAAAGATGAGAGGGACAAGCCAAAAAAAAGGCAAACTGAGTTGTTCTGAACCAGAAAACCAAAGAAAGCCAAGTCCGGATCTGAATGGTTCCTGGTGGAAAGGGCCGCGTCTTTCACGTGCGCCGGTATAAGGGCACTGTGCGACGGCCGATGCGCCGCTTCCGACCACCGCTTGAAATCGGGGGCTGGGCAGGAGGGTACCCTTTTGGAAGTCGGTTGAAGAACTTCAACAAGAAACCTCACATTCTTGAAGCAAAAGAAGGACCCCTCCCCACCCCCCAAAACAGAAGCAAGACACGACAAAAACGGCAAAGCAAACAAAAAGAGACAGATTACCCTGGCAAAGAAACAAAGGAAAGGGAGAAAACCAGCCAGGTATGCCACGCCCTCCAAGCTCCCCGCAGAGCGGCTGCGCCCTTCGCACCTTCGAGGGGGACCCTAAAATCGGTGGCTTCCCTTTGACTTTCTCTTGAAATGAGCCCGGAAATGAGGACTCGCAAAAAAGACAAAGCTATACTATGATATGACTGGGGTTGTTCACTAAATCATGGTTGAAACACAGGAAGCTGGATGAAAATCAGCTGCCCAGATCGGTTTCTCGAAAAAGGCAACAACCCTGTATGGGTGGGTGTTTCCTTGAGGGTACCGTTTGCAGGTCGGTTTAAAGGAAACCAAACAACGAAAACCACTATTTCGGGTCCTGGTGCAAATCCCAATTTTGGCACGTACCCTGTGAACCCCTGCTTTTTCCTTCTCCATTTTGGTCTGGATTTTGAGAGTTGCTACGCTTCTGGGGTTGCTTCAAGGAAAGGTGTTGCCGGATTGGGTGCTTCAGGAAATTCAACAAACCCAGTACTTGTTCCGCCTCAGTTTTTGGCCGCCCAAAAACGACACTCAATTCTGGGCAGATATCCTCAAAGGCTACCAAGCCTGAACAAAAACACAAAACACCACCCCTGCAATTGCTCTGGTGTTCTTCTTTTTGCTTTCTTTTTGAGGCGGTTCTATTGTTCTATTGGTTGAAACCTCTGGTTTCACAGTCCACGAGCTCCTCCTCAGCGACAACAAAAAAGATCCGCCTGCCGGCGCACGGACTTTAAGAGCGCCGCCTTATCCTGGACGGAGGCTGAAACGATTTGGCGAAGTCGGGAAAAGTCAAAACCGAAATGCTGCAGATTTCGGACCTTCGCGGTACTCACAAAATAAAAGGAACTCGGGCCCCGTGCTTGCAGCAAACTCCGCCACTGGATCAGCCCGCAACTAACTGAACTGATTTTGTTTGTCAAAATGAAGTCCAATTCAAAGTGGCAATCGAACTCGGTGGAGTGCCAAGTCCCTTTCCAACTTCCTTCCTTCCTGACTCCCAAAAGTCTCAGTGGTTCATTGATCCCTTGCTAAAGGTGAAACACTTCGTGGGATTGGATGTCTATCCCTCAAAGATTGAAGGGTGTGGCTGGGATTCGCCAAGAAGTTATTGGGTCAACCATTGTCCACCACCAACTCGAACCCCACAACTTGCTGTCCAACGCACTGCCGACCCAGGGCTGAAACCTGTGGGCTCCAAACATCTGCGTCAATTGCGAGCTCCAAAATGACCGAGGTCGAAAACCTTCAAACCAGATCGAAATATACGGCCTTCGGGAAAAAAGAAAGCACACAGCTCCTTTGGCAAGGGTCGCTGGCCATTTGTCTCAGAATTTCAGCTTCCCTCGCGGTTTGAAGCCCGGTGAGCCTGGTGAGTGGAGGTGTTCTGATGCGGTGTGAGGGCTCCAAACCCCCAATCCGAGTTGTACCAACCCGACCCTTCCATTTGCGTTCTAACGTCTCCTGGAAATGAGGCGCTCTCTCCACCTGTGAAATCGATCCCCTGCAACACCCAGGGGAAAAATCGAAACATATTGTTCATTTCAGCCAACGAAAAAGCCAACCACCCACACGCAAATCCCCACCCGCCCAGCACCCGGTGCTTTCGCCACCCCGCGCTTTCGGCACCCGCCACGCGCTTTCGGCACCCTTCCGGCCGGCGTGTTCACGGCGTGGTGGAAGGCTGCGAGCGGCACCTGCGAACGTTTTCTCGGCGCGTCTCTTCGGCACCCGCGCCTGCCCATCCGTCTCGCAATGGGATGCGAGACGCTTTTTTCCCCTGATTTTGGAATCCCTCGATTCCATGTTAGACACTGGACTTTCATTCCGGGGCTTCTTCAACTGATTCAGCTATGGGGTCGACAGGCCCAAAGAGGCTCAGCTTGCAGAAAGGGTTTTTGGAGGGTTCCAGCAGGTCCTGGGGCTGTTGGCTGTGAAATCCCATGCCTGGATGAAACGAGGCGATGGATTTTGGAGTAAGCCCTCGATTTCTTTTTGTGCCCCTCGAAGGTTGAACCTGTAGGAATGTCATTGTACTCTTGCACGGACCTAATGGGTCGCATGGCAGGGGCAAATCCTCGCGTTATGTCCACCCAAAAAAGAGAATGAGCCATCGTGTACCAAATAAGCTACAGGCATGTGTTCTTCTCTCTGATTCATACCCCCATTAGGATGTTTTGGAGGACCCACGGGCAGGCCGATGCTACCATGGGGGTGCGGCCAAACTCAAACCGTGAGAGGGCTTCCCAAACGGGGCCCCCGAAATGGGAGAGCGCGCCACGAAAGAGAAAACAAAAGGACGAGCCGGAAGGTGCTTAAAACCACGGAGAAGGTTTGGCCCTCAAAAAAGGGACACCTTTCCCCTCTGGAAAAGGTCCAAGAATTACCTCGTGCCAGCCGCACCTCCTCCAATCGCGCTGTGCCCCAGATACACTGGCAGTCAGGGATGGTAGCCTCGGCACTGTCCGAACCCCACGTGAGGCTAAGGCCGATTTGGACCAAGGATCCCAAGAAAACAAGATTAAGCTTGGTGGCACCTTGGCGAATGGGAAACCTGAAACGGGAATCCAGAAGGTTAAAGGCGCTAACGTGAAAATCGATGCCCCCATTGACTGCAAAAGGATGTTGTCCCTCTCACAAGTGGCAACCTCAAGCTAGCATGAACAGTGATTTCCTTAGCCCGCGCGAAAAAAAGAAAGCCCTTTAGAGCCATGCTGAAAAAAGATACCACATGGGATCCACCAAAAGTTGAACCCAATACTTGCCAAGCAAAGAGCCGCCCCTGAGCCCAAAAAAACATCGCTTCTGTCACTGGGCCACTGCCACGCGACGTATCGCAGAACAGAATGAATGTGCCACGTCGAAAGAAAACTACGGAATACACTCCCTCAGAGGTCCTGGGAACTTCCATGTTAGTCTGGGGGAGGGTACCTCTCTGTTCTGCACGACTCCTTGAAATCTCTCGCAAAGAGGCCCTCAAACACCCGACACCGAACCCACACCATCTCCTCGCACCGAGTCGAGCGAGCTTTCTTCTGATGGCTCCAGGTACAATGTACAACTTGGAAACCGCAAATTGTGGCATGACATGGCCGTGATTAAAACAACCATGCAGCATGACATGGCTGTGATTAAAACAACCATGCAGCGCATCAAGTTGAGCCTGGGTTTTTCAAGCGCTGTTCGCCAAACCCCATCGATCAGCACCCCAGGTCACAGGCTGTACAGCTCACAGGCAGAACGCTTTTTAGATCTGCTTCTTCAGAGCTGAAACTGCGAATGCCTTGACCACCGTTTTTCCTTGATGGCCACCTCTTTGCCGAACCTGGGCCCAGGGACGGAAAAAAACGGTTGACTTGGATGTCTCCAGTAAAGAAATAGTTGACTAAGCTATCGGCAAGGCAAACTCAACTTTTGCTAGGCAGGTTGAGAAACATCATCTGCTTGCCCACCTTGGTGGCTGGCTTCGTGCGTGTCTTGATCATGCACAGCCCCGGGATCACGAACTTCCCAATTGCCTTTACCTCCTTCGCTCCAATCTCAGAGAGCTGTCCAAGAAGCTGCGACACGTCAGACTTCTTCATGTCTGTTGCCGAGGCCAGCTCAGTCACGATACTCCCCTTTGTCAGGGCCTTGGTAGCCCTCATCGCCTTCATGGTCTTGGTTGCCTTCATGGGAGCCATGTCTGCAGAAGGGATGAGAGCGGGTGATCTGACTGCACAAGCTTGATGGATGACGGCTCAGCAACATAAGCTACATGAGTCACTGCTCCGCTGCAAGGAACCCCAAGCCAACCCCTGTTTGCCTGGAAACTTCATGCCAGCAACACTTGTAAACAAGACGCAATGCGCCGCCCCCAAACAACTCTTCGAACTGAGTCGCGCCAGCTTTCGTCTGATGGCTCCAGGTACAATGTACAACTTGGAAACCGCAAATTGTGGCGTGACATGGCTGTGATTAAAACAACCATGCAGCGCATCAAGTTCAGCCTGGGTCCCCCAAGCGCTGTTCGCCAAACCCCATCGATCAGCACCCCAGGTCACAGGCTGTACAGCTCGCAGGCAGAACGTTTCAGATCTGCTTCTTCAGAGCTGACACTGCGAATGCCTTGACCACCGTTTTGGCAGGCTGAGCCTTGATGGCCACCTCTTTGCCGAACCTGGGCCAACGGACACGTAAACACGGTGCACTTGCATGATGTTCAGTCAACACAGACAGGTTCAGTAAGCTATCGGAAACAAAACAAAAGCTTTCGCTAAGCAGGTTGAGAAACATCATCCGCTTGCCCGCCTTGGTGGCTGGCTTCGTGCGTGTCTTGATCATGCACAGCCCCGGGATCACGAACTTCCCGGTTGCCTTTACCTCCTTCGCTCCCATCTCAGAGAGCTGTCCAAGAAGCTGCGACACGTCAGACTTCTTCATGTCTGTTGCCGAGGCCAGCTCACTCACGATGCCCCCCTTGGTCATGGCCTTGGCAGCCTTCATCGCCTTCATGGTCTTGGTTGCCTTCATGGGAGCCATGTCTGCAACGGAAGGGATGTCCAAGGATGATCTGACTGCACAAGCTTGATGGATGACGGCTGAGCAACATAAGCTACATGAGTCACTGCTCCGCTGCAAGGAACCCCAAGCCAACCCCTGTTTGCCTGAAAACATCATGCCAGCAACACTTGTAAACAAGACGCAATGCGCCGCCCCTAAACAACCCTTCGAACTGAGTCGCGCCAGCTTTCGTCTGATGGCTCCAGGTACAATGTACAACTTGGAAACCGCAAATTGTGGCGTGACATGGCTGTGATTAAAACAACCATGCAGCGCATCAAGTTCAGCCTGGGTCCCCCAAGCGCTGTTCGCCAAACCCCATCGATCAGCACCCCAGGTCACAGGCTGTACAGCTCGCAGGCAGAACGTTTCAGATCTGCTTCTTCAGAGCTGACACTGCGAATGCCTTGACCACCGTTTTGGCAGGCTGAGCCTTGATGGCCACCTCTTTGCCGAACCTGGCCAACGCACACGTAAACACGGTGCACTTGCATGATGTTCAGTCAACACAGAAAGGTTCAGTAAGCTATCGGAAACAAAACAAAAGCTTACGCTAAGCAGGTTGAGAAACATCATCCGCTTGCCCGCCTTGGTGGCTGGCTTCGTGCGTGTCTTGATCATGCACAGCCCCGGGATCACGAACTTCCCGGTTGCCTTTACCTCCTTCGCTCCCATCTCAGAGAGCTGTCCAAGAAGCTGCGACACGTCAGACTTCTTCATGTCTGTTGCCGAGGCCAGCTCACTCACGATGCCCCCCTTGGTCATGGCCTTGGCAGCCTTCATCGCCTTCATGGTCTTGGTTGCCTTCATGGGAGCCATGTCTGCAACGGAAGGGATGTCCAAGGATGATCTGACTGCACAAGCTTGATGGATGACGGCTGAGCAACATAAGCTACATGAGTCACTGCTCCGCTGCAAGGAACCCCAAGCCAACCCCTGTTTGCCTGAAAACATCATGCCAGCAACACTTGTAAACAAGACGCAATGCGCCGCCCCTAAACAACCCTTCGAACTGAGTCGCGCCAGCTTTCTTCTGATGGCTCCAGGTACAATGTACAACTTGGAAACCGCAAATTGTGGCGTGACATGGCTGTGATTAAAACAACCATGCAGCGCATCAAGTTCAGCCTGGGTCCCCCAAGCGCTTGTCGCCAAACCCCATCGATCAGCACCCCAGGTCACAGGCTGTACAGCTCGCAGGCAGAACGTTTCAGATCTGCTTCTTCAGAGCTGACACTGCGAATGCCTTGACCACCGTTTTGGCAGGCTGAGCCTTGATGGCCACCTCTTTGCCGAACCTGAGCCAACGCACACGTAAACACGGTGCACTTGCATGATGTTCAGTCAACACAGAAAGGTTCAGTAAGCTATCGGAAACAAAACAAAAGCTTACGCTAAGCAGGTTGAGAAACATCATCCGCTTGCCCGCCTTGGTGGCTGGCTTCGTGCGTGTCTTGATCATGCACAGCCCCGGGATCACGAACTTCCCGGTTGCCTTTACCTCCTTCGCTCCCATCTCAGAGAGCTGTGCAAGAAGCTGCGACACGTCAGACTTCTTCATGTCTGTTGCCGAGGCCAGCTCACTCACGATGCCCCCCTTGGTCATGGCCTTGGTAGCCTTCATCGCCTTCATGGTCTTGGTTGCCTTCATGGGAGCCATGTCTGCAACGGAAGGGATGTCCAAGGATGATCTGACTGCACAAGCTTGATGGATGATGGCTGAGCAACATAAGCTACATGAGTCACTGCTCCGCTGCAAGGAACCCCAAGCCAACCCCTGTTTGCCTGAAAACATCATGCCAGCAACACTTGTAAACAAGACGCAATGCGCCGCCCCTAAACAACCCTTCGAACTGAGTCGCGCCAGCTTTCTTCTGATGGCTCCAGGTACAATGTACAACTTGGAAACCGCAAATTGTGGCGTGACATGGCTGTGATTAAAACAACCATGCAGCGCATCAAGTTCAGCCTGGGTCCCCCAAGCGCTGTTCGCCAAACCCCATCGATCAGCACCCCAGGTCACAGGCTGTACAGCTCGCAGGCAGAACGTTTCAGATCTGCTTCTTCAGAGCTGACACTGCGAATGCCTTGACCACCGTTTTCGCAGGCTGAGCCTTGATGGCCACCTCTTTGCCGAACCTGAGCCAACGGACACGTAAACACGGTGCACTTGCATGATGTTCAGTCAACACAGAAAGGTTCAGTAAGCTATCGGAAACAAAACAAAAGCTTACGCTAAGCAGGTTGAGAAACATCATCCGCTTGCCCGCCTTGGTGGCTGGCTTCGTGCGTGTCTTGATCATGCACAGCCCCGGGATCACGAACTTCCCGGTTGCCTTTACCTCCTTCGCTCCCATCTCAGAGAGCTGTCCAAGAAGCTGCGACACGTCAGACTTCTTCATGTCTGTTGCCGAGGCCAGCTCACTCACGATGCCCCCCTTGGTCATGGCCTTGGCAGCCTTCATCGCCTTCATGGTCTTGGTTGCCTTCATGGGAGCCATGTCTGCAACGGAAGGGATGTCCAAGGATGATCTGACTGCACAAGCTTGATGGATGACGGCTGAGCAACATAAGCTACATGAGTCACTGCTCCGCTGCAAGGAACCCCAAGCCAACCCCTGTTTGCCTGGAAACTTCATGCCAGCAACACTTGTAAACAAGACGCAATGTGCCGCCCCCAAACAACCCTTCGAACTGAGTCGCGCCAGCTTTCTTCTGATGGCTCCAGGTACAATGTACAACTTGGAAACCGCAAATTGTGGCGTGACATGGCTGTGATTAAAACAACCATGCAGCGCATCAAGTTCAGCCTGGGTCCCCCAAGCGCTGTTCGCCAAACCCCATCGATCAGCACCCCAGGTCACAGGCTGTACAGCTCGCAGGCAGAACGTTTCAGATCTGCTTCTTCAGAGCTGACACTGCGAATGCCTTGACCACCGTTTTGGCAGGCTGAGCCTTGATGGCCACCTCTTTGCCGAACCTGGGCCAACGGACACGTAAACACGGTGCACTTGCATGATGTTCAGTCAACACAGAAACATTCATTAAGCTATCGGAAACAAAACAAAAGCTTACGCTAAGCAGGTTGAGAAACATCATCCGCTTGCCCGCCTTGGTGGCTGGCTTCGTGCGTGTCTTGATCATGCACAGCCCCGGGATCACGAACTTCCCGGTTGCCTTTACCTCCTTCGCTCCCATCTCAGAGAGCTGTCCAAGAAGCTGCGACACGTCCGACTTCTTCATGTCTGTTGCCGAGGCCAGCTCACTCACGATGCCCCCCTTGGTCATGGCCTTGGCAGCCTTCATCGCCTTCATGGTCTTGGTTGCCTTCATGGGAGCCATGTCTGCAACGGAAGGGATGTCCAAGGATGATCTGACTGCACAGGCTTGATGGATGACGGCTGAGCAACATAAGCTACATGAGTCACTGCTCCGCTGCAAGGAACCCCAAGCCAACCCCTGTTTGCCTGGAAACTCTATGCCAGCAACACTTGTAAACAAGACGCAATGTGCCGCCCCCAAACAACCCTTCGAACTGAGTCTCGCCAGCTTTCGTCTGATGGCTCCAGGTACAATGTACAACTTGGAAACCGCAAATTGTGGCGTGACATGGCTGTGATTAAAACAACCATGCAGCGCATCAAGTTCAGCCTGGGTCCCCCAAGCGCTGTTCGCCAAACCCCATCGATCAGCACCCCAGGTCACAGGCTGTACAGCTCGCAGGCAGAACGTTTCAGATCTGCTTCTTCAGAGCTGACACTGCAAATGCCTTGACCACAGTTTTCGCAGGCTGAGCCTTGATGGCCACCTCTTTGCCGAACCTGGGCCAACGGACACGTAAACACGGCTCACTTGCATGATGTTCAGTCAACACACAAATGTTCATTAAGCTATCGGAAACAAAACAAAAGCTTACGCTAAGCAGGTTGAGAAACATCATCCGCTTGCCCGCCTTGGTGGCTGGCTTCGTGCGTGTCTTGATCATGCACAGCCCCGGGATCACGAACTTCCCGGTTGCCTTTACCTCCTTCGCTCCCATCTCAGAGAGCTGTCCAAGAAGCTGCGACACGTCGGACTTCTTCATGTCTGTTGCCGAGGCCAGCTCACTCACGATGCCCCCCTTGGTCATGGCCTTGGCAGCCTTCATCGCCTTCATGGTCTTGGTTGCCTTCATGGGAGCCATGTCTGCAACGGAAGGGATGTCCAAGGATGATCTGACTGCACAAGCTTGATGGATGACGGCTGAGCAACATAAGCTACATGAGTCACTGCTCCGCTGCAAGGAACCCCAAGCCAACCCCTGTTTGCCTGAAAACTTCATGCCAGCAACACTTGTAAACAAGACGCAATGTGCCGCCCCCAAACAACCCTTCGAACTGAGTCGCGCCAGCTTTCTTCTGATGGCTCCAGGTACAATGTACAACTTGGAAACCGCAAATTGTGGCGTGACATGGCTGTGATTAAAACAACCATGCAGCGCATCAAGTTCAGCCTGAGTCCCCCAAGCGCTGTTCGCCAAACCCCATCGATCAGCAACCCAGGTCACAGGCTGTACAGCTCGCAGGCAGAACGTTTCAGATCTGCTTCTTCAGAGCTGACACTGCAAATGCCTTGACCACAGTTTTCGCAGGCTGAGCCTTGATGGCCACCTCTTTGCCGAACCTGGGCCAACGGACACGTAAACACGGTGCACTTGCATGATGTTCAGTCAACACAGAAACGTTCATTAAGCTATCGGAAACAAAACAAAAGCTTACGCTAAGCAGGTTGAGAAACATCATCCGCTTGCCCGCCTTGGTGGCTGGCTTCGTGCGTGTCTTGATCATGCACAGCCCCGGGATCACGAACTTCCCGGTTGCCTTTACCTCCTTCGCTCCCATCTCAGAGAGCTGTCCAAGAAGCTGCGACACGTCGGACTTCTTCATGTCTGTTGCCGAGGCCAGCTCACTCACGATGCCCCCCTTGGTCATGGCCTTGGCAGCCTTCATCGCCTTCATGGTCTTGGTTGCCTTCATGGGAGCCATGTCTGCAACGGAAGGGATGTCCAAGGATGATCTGACTGCACAAGCTTGATGGATGACGGCTGAGCAACATAAGCTACATGAGTCACTGCTCCGCTGCCAGGAACCCCAAGCCAACCCCTGTTTGCCTGGATGCCAGCAACACTTGTAAACAAGACGCAATGTGCCGCCCCCAAACAACCCTTCGAACTGAGTCGCGCCAGCTTTCGTCTGATGGCTCTAGGTACAATGTACAACTTAGAAACCGCAAATTGTGGCGTGACATGGCTGTGATTAAAACAACCATGCAGCGCATCAAGTTCAGCCTGAGTCCCCCAAGCGCTGCTCGCCAAACCCCATCGATCAGCACCCCAGGTCACAGGCTGTACAGCTCGCAGGCAGAACGTTTCACATCTGCTTCTTCAGAGCTGACACTGCGAATGCCTTGACCACAGTTTTCGCAGGCTGAGCCTTGATTGCCACCTCTTTGCCGAACCTGGGCCAACAAACAAGTGAACACGGTCACTTGCATGATGTTCAGTCAACACAGAAAGGTTCAGCAAGCTATCGGAAACAAAACAAAAGCTTACGCTAAGCAGGCTGAGAAACATCATCCGCTTGCCCGCCTTGGTGGCTGGCTTCGTGCGTGTCTTGATCATGCACAGCCCCGGGATCACGAATTTCCCGGTTGCCTTTACCTCCTTCGCTCCCATCTCAGAGAGCTGTCCAAGAAGCTGCGACACGTCGGACTTCTTCATGTCTGTTGCCGAGGCCAGCTCACTCACGATGCCCCCCTTGGTCATGGCCTTGGCAGCCTTCATCGCCTTCATGGTCTTGGTTGCCTTCATGGGAGCCATGTCTGCAACGGAAGGGATGTCAAAGGGTGATCTGACTGCACAAGCTTGATGGATGACGGCTGAGCAACATAAGCTACATGAGTCACTGCTCCGCTGCCAGGAACCCCAAGCCAACCCCTGTTTGCCTGGATGCCAGCAACACTTGTAAACAAGACGCAATGTGCCGCCCCCAAACAACCCTTCGAACTGAGTTCGCGCCAGCTTTCTTCTGATGGCTCCAGGTACAATGTACAACTTGGAAACCGCAAATTGTGGCGTGACATGGCTGTGATTAAAACAACCATGCAGCGCATCAAGTTCAGCCTGAGTCCCCCAAGCGCTGCTCGCCAAACCCCATCGATCAGCACCCCAGGTCACAGGCTGTACAGCTCGCAGGCAGAACGTTTCAGATCTGCTTCTTCAGAGCTGACACTGCGAATGCCTTGACCACAGTTTTCGCAGGCTGAGCCTTGATGGCCACCTCTTTGCCGAACCTGGGCCAACGGACACGTAAACACGTCTCACTTGCATGATGTTCAGTCAACACAGAAAGGTTCAGCAAGCTATCGGAAACAAAACAAAAGCTTACGCTAAGCAGGCTGAGAAACATCATCCGCTTGCCCGCCTTGGTGGCTGGCTTCGTGCGTGTCTTGATCATGCACAGCCCCGGGATCACGAATTTCCCGGTTGCCTTTACCTCCTTCGCTCCCATCTCAGAGAGCTGTCCAAGAAGCTGCGACACGTCGGACTTCTTCATGTCTGTTGCCGAGGCCAGCTCACTCACGATGCCCCCCTTGGTCATGGCCTTGGCAGCCTTCATCGCCTTCATGGTCTTGGTTGCCTTCATGGGAGCCATGTCTGCAACGGAAGGGATGTCAAAGGGTGATCTGACTGCACAAGCTTGATGGATGACGGCTGAGCAACATAAGCTACATGAGTGACTGCTCCGCTGCCAGGAACCCCAAGCCAACCCATGTCGAACTGGAAACTCTATGCCAGCAACACTTGTAAACAAGACGCAATGTGCCGCCCCCAAACAACCCTTCGAACTGAGTCGCGCCAGCTTTCTTCTGATGGCTCCAGGTACAATGTACAACTTGGAAACCGCAAATTGTGGCGTGACATGGCTGTGATTAAAACAACCATGCAGCGCATCAAGTTCAGCCTGAGTCCCCCAAGCGCTGCTCGCCAAACCCCATCGATCAGCACCCCAGGTCACAGGCTGTACAGCTCGCAGGCAGAACGTTTCAGATCTGCTTCTTCAGAGCTGACACTGCGAATGCCTTGACCACCGTTTTCGCAGGCTGAGCCTTGATGGCCACCTCTTTGCCGAACCTGGGTCACGCGCATGATGTTCAGTCAAAACAGCAAGGTGCATTAAGTTATTGGCAATAAAACAAAAAGCTACGCTAAGAAGGTTGAGAAACATCATCCGCTTGCCCGCCTTGGTGGCTGGCTTCGTGCGTGTCTTGATCATGCACAGCCCCGGGATCACAAACTTCCCGGTTGCCTTTACCTCCTTCGCTCCCATCTCAGAGAGCTGTCCAAGAAGCTGCGACACGTCGGACTTCTTCATGTCTGTTGCCGAGGCCAGCTCACTCACGATGCCCCCCTTGGTCATGGCCTTGGCAGCCTTCATCGCCTTCATGGTCTTGGTTGCCTTCATGGGAGCCATGTCTGCAACGGAAGGGATGTCAAAGGGTGATCTGACTGCACAAGCTTGATGGATGACGGCTGAGCAACACAAGCAACATGAGTAGCTGCTGTGTCACCGGCACCTCAACTCAAGCCGATGCTTCTTGTTCGAAACTCCATGATTCTGCCAGGTCGATTCATCCAGCTTTAGCATTAGTACCGCATTTGCTTCTATTCCAAAACCTGAAAACCTGAAATAAGAAAATCGGATCCCCAAGTTGCGGGTACCTTCCTGGGTTGCTTGTTTCAATCACCCCTCCGCTGGACTCGCTCGCTCGCGCCCTCGCAGGGCGGGCCGCTGGGCTTGCCCCACCCAGCGCACTCCGAAGGCGCCCTCCTGGCTCCAGGGAAACCCAGGGCTCGGTCGGTGCAACTTGCGATCGGCGCGATGAGAAAATTTGTGACATGGAATGAACCCAGCGATCGAGTTGCAAATGAAGGAAATGGTTGGAGGGGTTTTCTTGGGGCCATTCCATTTCTCATTCTGGCGCTTTCCCCATATTGGTTGAGATTCGAGATTGTAGAGAAAAGTCAAACGAGGGTTCTGAATCGAATCACGTGTGGCTTGCCTGATGGAAAAGGTAACGATTTGAATAGCCCAACCGCTTCTGGGGGGTGCAATCTTTTGGTTCCCATACAGGGCAAACGAGCCTCCCAAGCCTCATGATTTCACCAAGCTGGAATGAGGGATTCCCAAGCAAAGCATCATGGTCGAGCTCAGGTGTACCCAGCTCGATGCTGCTTGATCTTCTCTGAAGGCAAACATGAGTACAGCCTGTTTTGACGCCCTCCTTTCAAGGTGTCCAACCCAAAGGGAGGCCAAAAAAAGGACCATAGGGAAACCAAACAGAGAAAGAAAAGGGAAACCCAAAAGAAGTAGGACGAAGCCCACATTTTGAGGGTTGCCCTTTGAGACACACCTCCTCGATCCTCGGGGCTCCTGTGGGAAGATCCCCAACCGATGCCCGAGGCCGCGGTTCAGGTGGAACTGGTCCTCGGCGTCGGAAGATGAAGGTATGTGGCTCTGTTTTCTAGGGAAAAACCCTTCTTGGTTTGGAGAGGACAATACAGCTCTCGTTCTCTGTTTTATTTCTTTTTCTTTGGCGTGGCTTATACACTATATATTTATTAATTTTTGGAGGGCCCAAAAAACCCTTGTTTGGCGATCGGTGCGAGAGATGCAGGGAATGAGAAATGATCCCACGCATCCGACTGGTGGTTTCCTTTACTCGGGAATGCGGTTCGGTTCATTCCATTTCTCATTCAGTACCTATCGCACCGAATTGGAGGTAGGGCCACGGAGGCAACAAAAAAACACTCGATCCTGGAAACCAAAGAAGGATCCCTGAAAGGAGTTTTGTTTGAGGCAATCCTATTCACATTGCCAAACTTAACCAACCTTTCCGCCCTTTTGCCATTTGGGTTTTCCTTCAGCTGTTCCTTCAACAACAACGTAAAAACAAAAGAAAACGAGAGCTGGCTCTCCGTGTATTGTCCTCTCCAAACCCACAAGTTGAAACCAACCCCCCGCGAGGAGTCCCGAGCCTCGAAAGGCGGCAAATCTGAGGCTCGAGCCGTGTAGGGCGGGTACCCGTCCATCTTGGGATATGCCTGTCATCTTTGGACCAGGGGTCAAAACAGGCGGACTGGTTCCCTCCCACCAAAGTAAAAAAACATGCCCTTTAGACCATAACCAAAAAAAAAAACTATTCTCCAAGAGTGTGTCTCAAAACAAGTCGACAAAACTTTGACCTACTTGTGGTTTGGTACCGATGTTGTACGAGGTTCGGAGTAAACCCGGGCCTGTCCTTTTTAGGGCCCCCCAAAATAAAGAAACATGCTGGTTTCACCTTTGGTTTCCTTTTAAGACAAGCTTTGAAGGGTAGCCTGAACAAAAGCCACACCCAGCGATTGCTTTCGGAGCGGCACTGGCGGCAATCGAGCTGGATGTTCCGCGGTCCAAGGGTGCAAGCCACAGACCCCGGAGCAGGGTCCAAGGGAAACCACAGAAAACCAAGGAAAACCACAGGAAACCAAGGAAAACCAAAGGAAACAAAGAGGAAAAACCAAAGGAAACCGAAAAAGAACCAAAGGAAACCGAAAGAAACTGAAAGACCACTCGACACCAGTGAACGAGTTGACCCCTGAATGCAAGTCGCTCCCAGATTTGCACCTAGATTTGGTGGGATTCCCTAACATCCCAGCACCAAACCCTTTGTGCGGTAAATTCGGGTGTTTCCGTCTTCGCTACTTGCAATATTGAGGGAGTCCACCAGAGATAATGGACACAACAGGTTCCACCTTAGTGAACACCCTCAAGATGGTGATCTTAAAGGGTTCACATCAGCACCCAAAAGTAAATTGAGAAACCCTCCAAAAACGCAACAACTGTTTTTGCCACCTAGCGTATACATGGCGCATGTTTTTTTGGGTATCCTCTTCAGGTGGGTTTACCCAGCACCCAGCAGGCTCCGCTTTGCTTCGGCCTGCTCCTCATCGAGCACTCGCTGCCAGAAGCGCCTCGAATCGGCTTAAGGGGAACCAAAGGAACCCTAAACCCATTTTTCAGCTTCCCCTAGTTGGTAGGTTGGTTTTGTAATTTTCCGGGGTTCCGTTCCCATTGTGTTTCAAAATGAACTGGGGTTCAAATTTCTAAATCACCTATTTTAACCACTAATAAGAATTATCTGAATCTTAGGGGTGCCCCTATAATTAACGCATACCCTGGGCAGAGGCCCTACAACAAAGTGATCTATCTTCTGCTTAGCATTCTGGAACCAAACATCTCAAAATAATGCAAACAATAATTGCTGCAAAAATGTTGGAGGTCCAACCAAATCACAATTTGCTAGCGGTTCCAACAAACGCCAGGGGTTCCGCCCTCGTTCGACGAGCGCGCCTAGTCCTCTCGTTGCAGTGCACCACGCAAAAGCCCGCGTTCACTTCGCCCCGCCGCATGTCCGGCACCACCTGTGCAACGGGACAAAACAAGAAAAACAAAAGACAAAGGAAAAGCAAAGAGGGAAAAAACAAGACACTCGTATGTTGCAAAGCTTTATATACATGCTCTCACTTTGACCCTCATTGAATCTCTTGCAAGCTATTCAATGGGTCCCAAACAAAACATCGACATTTGCATACCTGCAAATTGTTCAAGGAACCCAAAACACATCTAGAATGGCCACTCAGATCCGCCCCCTCCCGGAAAAAAGAATGAGTTCAAGAGGAATCACCCTGCGGGGCCACCCATTTGGAGGGATGGATCCTTCGGGAGAAAACCATCCGGATCCGGATCCTCCGATTCTCATCGCCAAGTGTGGCAACCTCCCTTTCAGACGCTGGATTTCCCCTTCAAAGGGTTCCCAAACTGCCACCACTGCTGCCCTGAGAGGTTGTTTGAACCAGTTCCTATGGTCATGTCGTTCCTGCACACTTTGCACTTTCATGTTTGGTGGCTCTGCAATTGGACGGAAATCTGCAAGGGGGCCAGTGGATCCTTGGGCTCCATGCGAGTTTGCAGTACAAAGCAAAGACACTCACGGCAAACCCGGCAAACCCAAAGACTCAGATCTGCGTCCCCACCCAGAGGAGACGGCTCAAAAAACAGTGGCAAGCTGCTGCTGACGTCCCCCTCCCTCGCTTCAAACAGTTGGGCCGCGGCAAAGTGGCTGCGTGCTCAAAATGGATGTTGGGTCCACGGAAATTCCCTGAAAAGCACTGGAGTTCCCCTCGGACAGTTGCAATTGGCTGGCGTTTGCCACTGAAAGTGTATCCTTTGGAAGTAACCCAAAAAGGTAAATGGCTCGGAAACTGTCTGAAAACCAGCAGTTCCTCCACCAAACTTCTAGGGCTCGCAGTCACCCATCAAGATGCCATGCTCCATGTGGTAGGCTTCATTCAGACCACCGACGTCTCCCGTCTGCTTGAAATGAATCCCGCAAAGGATCTCCGAAGCAAAGGAGGAGGACATTGGGGGTTGTTCTCGAGTCATTTTGGGTTTACACCCATGCCTTGGCTCCCTCGATTCAGCGCCTCGGTGCGCTCACGCATAAAGATGATGTCCAGGCGCTCGTCCTCATCTTCGTTGTGTTTCTTCAGGCGAAAAGAAAAGACAAACATTAACTCCTGATTAAAAAATCCTCCAGCTTTTCTTCCAGAAAACCCCACCGATCAATAACGGGGGGTTGTTAATCGGGTAACATTCGGTCGGGCCACGAAAGGGTTGGTCTAGGGGTGTGGTTTTTGAGGGTATCCATTTATACCATGCCATCTTGGGGAGTCAGATTTATTCATTGCCACACCCAAACGGCTAGAGGGTTTGCAGCCCAACTTTTCTCAGGCCTTCGTCAATGTCCGGTCTGCTTGGGCAATGTCCGCATGCCCGGCTCGTTTTACCGGCTTCAAAGTCACCCACTGGCAAGTACAAAAGGGCAACCAGACACCGAGCAGGGGGTGTAGGGGCGGGGGGGAGGGGGGGGTTGGGAGGCTGAATTTCATCACTTTGGGCCACTTGGCCGAGATCATAGGTGGGGATCTATGTCCGCCTCTTCCTTCGACCATGCTCCCTGACAAGTTTTTGTTTGTCAAAGCAGGCGATCCCCAGAAGTGGTGGTGGTCCTTTTAGTTTCCGGTTAACAAGGCGACAAGTCAGCTTCCCTCTAGTTGGTGGCTTGGGTTTCCCATTTACTCTCCACAAGAACCAGGGGTTCAAATCTTCAGAGACCAACTCCCCCGACCGAGAGTCCTGCATCCACTGCAGCCACTCCCGCTGCAGGTGCCTCGGAGAAAACCCCCAACGGCGCAGGAATGGCGAACGGTCAAACGCCCAAAACGGAGAAACTTCGGACTTTGGGTGCCATGGCTGAGGCTCATAGCGAACAATATATGTGTTGCCCAAGAGAAAACTGTAAAAAGTTGGGTTGTCCTCCTGGCTTGTGTAGGGAAATTGGGTTTTTCTAGCAACACATCTGTTTGGAAACCGAACGCCTCAAAGCAGACCTCTAACCTTTCACGGTCGGAAAGCCCTTCCTTTGGGCTTCAAACATGTGGAGCACCGCGTTCAAAAAGTGTCCAGTCCACTGCAGGGATTGAGTAAAGGGTGGTTTGACCACTTTCAACCATTTTCATCAACTCCGAGCCGCACGAACTCCGGGAAGAATTGGATGTCTGTGTCCTAGGCTCAGCACATCAGTCCTCAGCCCCTTTTCAGGCTCCATGTGAAAGTTGGGTTCGCGTCAGTGACCAGTCACTCCGTTTGTGGTTGCTTCACCAATGGCTTGCATCTGTGTTTGTACATCTATGGCGTGCACCAATCAGTCCCGCTACATTAGTTTGGCGTGGACCATACTGGCACATTCATAGGGGGTATTTCCTCCAAAAGTGATTGGCCCAAACCTGATGTTTCGGACCACAACAACAGACATGGGTGTGTCTCAAAAAAAAGGCCCAAAAAAATGATGATGTCCCTTTGTTTCTTTAAAACAACCCAAAAACAGGTGTCCTCCAAAAAAGCACCCTCACGGTGAAACATGTGGAGCATTCCTTATTCAGATTCATATCGGACGGGGCCCAGAACCTTTACCACGAGTTTTGGGAAGACAGTCTTGACGCGTTCAAGAAAAAGCAAATGACGATCAGAATGATAGCTCTTTCGGTCCTCAGCAGAAGTGAGTCGGCCCGTTTTGGGCATCAAGCCTGGTCAAATCTCCTTTCGGCCCAGAAATGATGCTTGGGGAAAACGGGGCCACCCTCAGCCGCACCCTCCCCCGCGCATTCCAACCCAGCATCGGTGTGGATGAAGTATTCGCCCGGGTGCGAAGTGATCCACTTGACTACCTGCCCGCACTTCTCTCGCTCACACATGTCCAAACAAACCCGCTTCGGGCCTTGTTGGGTCCATAAAAGTGACATCAACATAAACTTTGCCAATCGTTGGTTTGATCATTCTTCAAATCATTGATTAAGTTGGGCTGTGTGCCAAAATCAACACCCAAAACTGGTGGTTTTTTGGATCCAATCTGAAGCGCGTGCCAACTCAACAAGTGGCTTCCGCAGGGCCAGTCGACGCATGGCCTCGCAAAAGCGATGGCATGGGCTTCGGAGTGGATTCCGAGTCTTTGCTCAAACAGCCTCCCAACCCGTTTCCCATGGAAGCTGACGTACTTTCGGGGGGGGGGGGGGGTTCTGCCGTTTTGGACCAAATTGTCCTTGAAAAAGAAAACAGATGTCTCGTCCGCCAGGCTCCATGTGGCTTCGGCTGGGAGGGCAACTACTGTACCAGACTTGGCTTCGGCTGGGAGCCCCTTGCGCCCTGCCGTGCCTCCGCCAGCTGCCGGTCAATGGCACAGCGCCAGGAGTCCGTGCAGTACCCGAAGGGCGGCGCCAGCCTCGCTCGCTCGCTCGCTCGGAGAACCTGTGGGTTTTTCCGGATACTTTTCTGGCTGCTCAAAAAACCGGAATTCCAACATGGCTTGCTCGGGGAAGTGGAAACATGGACCAAAACCTGCGGTTTTGCCCCTCCTGTTTAACTTTGAGCCACACCCAACTAGCCCCACCTGGTGCACATGCGAAGGAGGAGCTGTTGGTTTAAGATAAAAATCGCCCCACACGCTGCGAAGTGCGAAGTGCGCACATGTTGTATGACCTGATCTCGCCCACGGCCACAAATCCAGGAATTTGCAATAACTCGTCTGCTCATAACGCAGATGCGAAGCGCGGACTTCGAAACAAGCTACCGCAGGTCTTGGTGTCGCACAAGACAAAAAAAGACTCATGGAAGCCTCACACGAGAAACATGGGCGAAATAAACCTTCGGAGGCGCCTGTTTCTACGTTAAGTGTCAGAAAGTGATGGCTTGGTTTAGAGTTGGGTTAGGATTCCCCAAGCAGTGTGTCTACACTAAGGTGGTTGGTTGGTTTAGAGTTGGTTTTGTGCGATTTGGGGTGGTTCAGGGTTGGTTTAGAGTTGGCTTGGGATGGTGTAGGTGGGCTTTGGGGTTGGTTTAGGGTTGAACTTGGATTGGTTGGGTTTGGAAAATCGACGACTTTTTAGGGGGTCACAATAAACTTTGACACATACACAAGTAAATGGCACAACTCCCCCCCCCCCAATTAGGGGCGAGTCTTCCCAACGTGGGGGGCTCTTAGTGGGGCGAGTTGCTCAAACGCATTTGCCACCCTGGGCCGGCGGCTCGCCGAGGTCCACCACGTGGATCTTCTGCCTGGACGTGACTCCAAGGGACCGGGGCCTCCTGGTGTTTTTTTTGTTGGACAGCAGGAAAGCCACATGTTTGTGTTGAACCCTTGAAATCTCCGCGTTCCCCTGGCAAGGGAACCAGACTTCACTTCGATCGCGTCAGCGCGACCGGCGAGTCAAGAGACACTTTTACCGGTGCCAACTTGCTCAGGTCTCGCTGGACATCTCTTGCGAGCGGCGAGGTGTGAAACCGAATCTAGAAATCGAGGTCGAATCGTTGGTCTTTGACCCGCGAAAAGTTGAGAGAAAGGTCGAACCAAGCATGTTGCAAGAAGAAATCTGATGAAGTTGCGCAAAAGCTTGATGAAACTGATGTGCTTCTGAGGCTTGGTAGAAGGGAAAACGGATGGGAAACCAATCATTTGGGGGTTCCTCCTATTGTTTTCAGATCCAGTTGTACAGGCTGGTTGGATCAATGTGTCCCGAAATGTCTCCCGCGGGTCTATGCAGGTTACTGTAGTGGGCTGAAGAGGTATCGGGAAGCAAAAGGAATACGGCACGGTGAGCTCGCCAAAATGGGCAAACAAAATTGGCTCGGCCAAACTTAAGCTTTTGGGGCAACTCATGCACACTGCTCCGAATTCTGGTCAGTGCAGGCTCTCTGATATGGACAACGCCGCCGTCTTCTGAATGTACCTGAGGCCAGAAACTGTGGACAAATGTGCCAAGGGGGACCTTCCCAGGTCACCCCCAAACAGTCACACACCAAAATTGCCCATGACCAAGGAAATAAGGAACATCAACAAGCAACTGTGTGTTTTTGCGATGCTTTTGCAAGGGAAAACGATAAGCAACAGGAACGCCCTGATTCGACGGAAAATGCGCCATCTCTGGGATACGAAACGGTCCCATCATTCCCAGGACCTCGAACTGAGGGATGGCAACGCACGTTTCCGAAAAGCCAGCCAAGTGAAATGATACCTTCCAGAAAAAAGAGAAACACAACCTGCAAACCAGCAAAGTACCCTCCCAAAACAATCGTGACACCTGAAAGGGAAGTTCCAGGCAAATTCCTCTCTCACAGGGACCCTTTTTCAGATTCCCCGTTTGGGAGGGTGTCCAGCCCATTTGGCCCACTACAAAATGACATGTGGATTTCAGGGGAGGCCGCAATGACATAGATCCCTAGCCTAAGTGACAGCAGATTGTAATGACCGCTTGGAGAAGAAAAAAAAGAGCGCCCCGTCGAATTCAGGGACCCATTTTGCAGATGTGTTTCTTTCTTCGCAAAGCGCCCTCATTTTCTAGGGTCTTTGGCCAATCCGCAATTCAATACTGTGAAATTGCTGTTCCAACCCCAGAAAAGCAACTAAATGCATGCCTCCCCCAAGGGGTAGCGGATGCCTCCAGGCATGCTGAAGTTGTCCGGCAGCTTTGCTCATGGGCATTGAGTTTAGCAACCCCTTCAAGGTGGCGTTTGCGTCCCAGGCCCTACAAAATGCGAAAGCAACCACTGGACCCCTAAAAAATATATTGTTTGTTCCAAAAAAAAAGGAAAAAGGAAGAAGAATAAACATATCCAGGCCCAACCCCTCAACACTCAAAAGACTTGCGTGAGATACAGATATAAGAAAATTGTGATTTCGATGCTCTCACGTAGTCGGCAAATGTTTCGACAAGCAACCGGTCCTTGCGCGGAACCACGGTCTTGTTAGCCCTGTGGTTCCCAAGCGTTTCACCCTTCCGGAAGAACGGTTCCTGTGGGTGCTTTGGTTGATTACCTAAAATACAGAGAAACCACCCTTCAAAATTCCAAAGGAAGATGTCTGGTCACCACAAGCACATGGAATCACTAAGGGTTGACCCGTTGGCCCGCTTTTTGTGGAAACCTCCGGCACACCCCGCCAGTGGGGGTGTCTTTTGGGGGTGCCCCTTTTGGCTGGAGGCAAAAGGAAACCCTGAGACAAACCCATACCCTCAAAAAAAAGGAAGCCAATCCTTTTTGAAAACTCTTTTTGGGTTCGTCTCTAAATGGAAGGAACCTCCGAAAATGAAGGGGGGGGGGGGCTTTTCCTCTTCAGTTCCTTTCCAACCCCCAAAAAGGACCACATCTTCAGCCAGCCCCCGAGCCAATTCGCCTCAGGTCCGGCTCCAGCAGCCGCTTGGTCATCCAATCCTCGGATCTCGTGCGGCGTTCGCGGCGCGAAGGCTCTTAGGGGCCTTGTCGCGGGAGTCAGCTTGGCCATGGGTGAAAACCACCCGCCTTTAAAGCTTGAAATACCAGGACCCGCATCGAGGGGGTGAAATTTCAGGTGCCAAGCCATGGACCTGGAACAAGGCCCCGGGAAAGCTGCTGGAGCTTGTTATGATATAATGGTAAGGTTGTCTTTAAAAAAGGGGACCCAAAAAATGGACTTCGGCTTCCCTCTGGATTCCCAATACCCTCAGCCCCGGACAAAATGCGTCTCATCCTCAAAACTCCAAATGGTGGCGTTTAAAGAAACCACCCCCAGAAGCAATTACTGTGGCTCGAAGAGAGAGACCCAACTACTTTAACGCAAAACCCACTGTGGTTTCAAGAGAATCAGCTACTTTAACGTTCACAAAAAGGAAAGTTCAAAGCCGACGACTTTAACACGACCCCTTCAAAATGCGTCCAGTTTCAGCGACACAGTTGCCGGCTCGCACAAACACCGAGCGGCGGAGGTCTTTGCGTGGATGAGCTGAGGGAGCCGCGAGACGAACTCCAGAGCCTCCCAAGTGCGAAAGCGGCGTTGCGGCGGCGAAAGGCGGCGGAAGATCGAGCGGATTGCTTGGTTGAGTGGACAAAGCAGGATACGATTTTTGGATAGCATGCGATTCATCCTCTGGGAGCCGATTCTCTTGAGGGAGGGTTCCCATGTCCCATGTTTTGCGAAGGACAGGGTTTCGGACTCAAGGTGCCAATGTTCCATGAAGCGAATTGAATCGGTTCGTACCCTCAAGACTTTTAGGGTGTCTGGATCGAAACTCTGCGACATGCCAAACGCCGCTTCAAACGGAGCCCTTGCTCATCTCTTTGTCACAATGAAAACCTTGGAGGTTGGAGAAGGCTCGACCCAAAACCCAGAAAAAAGAGCCCAATGAGCAAAACGTCGCCGATTTTTCTGCTTGGGACCGCCCCGCAACCTTCACATGCGGGTTCGGGTTGTGCCCAACAGCCGCCTCCCGGGCCGCGAGCACCGCGGCGTGGAAGCTCTTCAAATGCCGCATGAACTGCGGGTTCTCCTGCGGGAGTCGGCAAACAAAACTGAAGCGCCCCTCCGAAAGGGCCAACGGTGAGGGGAAGCCCAAGGAGACCCCTGGGTTCGAAGCCCAAGGGTTGAAACTGTTTTCAGCCCCTGCTTTGGAGGCTCGGTGGATGGTTTTCAGGGAAGCCAAATTTGGCTTTTGGGTTTGATGGTTGAGTAAACACCGGGGCGAGGGGTCGTTTCTCAAAACAGGATGGACAGGCCACCACGAGGGCTTTTTGGAGGAAAGGAGCTGGTCGCATGAAAGGTTTGGTTGACATAGGAACTCTCCTGTCGGTCTCCTGTGGTTCTCCTCGGAGCGGAAATTCTCAACATGGGTCCCCTGAAGCAGTTGGCTTCCTTTTGGCATCCCTTCAAGCAGCACAAAAGAATCACCTTCTTGAGAAACCCCCAAATGGTTCGATTGCTGTCCCAAACCACTAATCCAATCAAGGGTAACCTTGCCGGTTCTCAGCAAGGAATCAAGACGGAGTCTTGAAATGTAGCCTCCGGATCCCATTACAGGAAACCACCAGAATGGCTCTTTTCTCAGAGTCAATTCCCCGCCTTGCTCCCTATCAAGCCGATCGCCAGTCATTCTTCTTGTGTGGGCATAACTGTCAACCCCACAGTGCTGGACATCAGACTTCGGTGGGAATTTATGGGTCTTGAGCTTTAGGGGGCTCCATCAAACTGGCGCAACGGCCGTGTTTCCCTTGGGCTTTCCTTGAAAAAGCCACCCAAAGAAACGGGAAAGACGCGATTCCCTTGGGTTTCTCTTTGAGAAGCCACCAAAATGGGTACCCTTCGCCTCCAAAAACGAGGAGCCACCCTGAAAAAGAACCACGTCAGCCACTCCTTGAGCTGTGGACTCAAGCGCTGCTCGGGGATCTTCATCACCTGGAGGGGAAAGAAGGGGGAATGTATCTCCCAATCCAATACTTCGGGTGATGACTCCAGGTCTGTTGGGTGACTCTTTTCGGGGACTGCAAAGAATTCGAGTCGTGGTCTTGTTTTTTACAGAAGGGGCCCCTCATGGGGGGTGGGTTGTTGGAACACAGGGGTTTTCTAGCTTTTGGGGTATGCGTCTTTGATACTTTCTTCTTTGAGGGGGTACCCAATAAAATGGCGCACCGGTTTTAGGTGGCTTCCCTTTAACCCACCGAAGGGTACCAAGGCTCAAAACAGACACACCCTTTTCGTGGGTCGTGGTCCAACTGGTTGGCCTTAAAAAGAGCCACAGCCAGATCAACGGAAGACCCACGCCCCAGTTGAGCAGTCCCCTTGTTTCAGCCATGGACTCTTGGTGCTAGAACCCCAAGTAAAAGAACAACCTACTAAGATGGGCAGCAGGGGTTGTGAGTGCTGCTCACTTGAAAACCTAGTGGTTCTGGGCCGGCAAAATCAAACATGCTTACAAAAGGGGCGAAACAAGTGAAGGAGGAAAAAAAATACCTGGGAACCCGCCAACGTTTGCTTTTGCAGGTTGTTCCGAGAAGTCATGCGTTAAGGGCAGCTTGGGTGAAGGGCGCTCTTGTGACCCACCGACAAACCTTGGTCACTGCTGCACTGGGGGCTTAGAGCTTTGGGTGGTGCTCTCCAAAATGAGTTCGCGGGTCTCAGAAAAGTAGTGTTCACCCCGGAAGCAGAACTCCTGGTTGATTTTGAGTAGGGGGGTGAATCCCCCGTTTAGTGGGGATTCGGACCACTTTTGGAGGGAGCACCCCCCGAAAATACTGGGACGGGTTCTACTTAC